CTTGCAGTGATCCTTCTGCCTCAGACTCTTGAGTTCTGGGATTACAGGCATGAGCCACCTTGTCTGACTACTATTTTAAATTGCCTGCATTATTTTTACAATTCACTATGGTATGTATTTACATCATCATTTCTTTCGTTTTTCTTTTTTTATTTTGGTACTGGGGATTGAACTCAGGTCCTTGTGCTTGCAAGGCAAGCGGCGGAAACACTGAGCTAAATCCCCAGCCCTACATCATCATTTCTAATACTGAAGGTACAAATTGTGTAAAGACCTAAATTCATTCATTCATTCATTCAGAGACAAAGTCTCACTGTGTAGTCCAGGCTGGAGTGGAACTCGAAATCCTCCAGAGTCAGCCTTCTGGGCTGGGGATTTAGCTCAGTGGTTCCATTGCCTGCCTAGCAAGCACAAGGTGCTGTGTCAGATTCCTGGTACCAAAAACAAAAACAAAACAGAGTCAGCCTCCTAAGTGCAGATTTAGGTTAGGTGTGCACAATCATGCCCACCTTTTCCCCTTTTCATAAGGCCATGATGATTTAATTGTGGGCATTCTACCCTAATGATTTTAATCTAATCACTTTCGAAAGGCCTCACCTCTAAACACTATAACTGGATTATATTTAACCTTCTAATATCTCATAGTAGATTAAATTTCAACATGTGAAGTCTTGAAGGACACTCAAATCATATCTAAACCATAGCATAGCGCATATTTACCTGCTTTGAAATTGTGCCTACAGGACCTATCACACCACAATTGTGGTACTTAGCCATATTGTACTGTGTCATCTTTTGTCTGTTTGTTTTCTGCTGTGTCATCTTTGGTTAATTTTCCTATTGAATAGCAAATTCCTCAACAAGGGAAACGTCCCATGAGACTGTGTCTCCCATTCTTTTTAATGGTACCTAGCACATAGGTGACCTGTTAAGTAAATAGTTTCTGCTTCACCGTGAAAACATGCAAGCATACGTGCTAGAAGAATGTGAGAGACAACAGAGAAGAACCAAGGTCTTTCTAGATCTGACAACAGCCAGCTAGTCCCCAAACAGGTGAATTCAGACAAAATCAATAAAGCTACTAAACAACTCATAGTTGACTCAAAACATATTTCAGAAAACCTACCCAATAAATGCATAGTCTCCTAAGACATAATATAACTTGTGTTGAATCACTGACCTTTGGGGTAGCTTCTTAAGCAGAAGCTTTGTGGCAATAAATAACTGGTAACGATACCTGGATTAAAGTTTACCTGAAGATTACCAACTTGAGAGCTCTTACAGATTAAAAAAATTAACATCCAAGGCTTGCTTTTACAAGTCCTATTGTGAATATGGAAGGACATATTTATAAATCAGTAGAAATATTTTCCATTATTTGCTAAAGTCTTAAAATGAATGACATTTTGAAAAAGATTAGTATAGAATTTTTACATTAAGAAAAAATAAATCATCAATAATCTTTTTTATTCCAATACATTGATGTTATTTTGCATTTCTATTGAATCAGTATTTGTGCTTATATGTATTTACATGCAGTTGTAAGAAAAAAGATGTAGTTTGCTTTAATACTGGAGGAAAAGTACCATATTCATATATAATCTTCACAAGTATTTTATGGTTTATTAATAGTTTTTCAAGTAGATTTACTGTAATTCTCAATTGCTTTAAAAAAGTTATATTACTTTGTTCAGGGTTGGGATTAAGCTCAGTGGTTCTGCCACCTGCCTCACAAGTGCAAGGTCCCTAGGTTGAACCCCAGTACCAAAAAAAAAAAATTACTTTTTTCATATTATCAATGTGATTTTTTTCTTTCTTTGGTATTATTTCCTCAGGCAACAGGCAGTAAACATTATCCTTTTTGTTTATTGTTCCATCCTTTCATATCCCCAATGCCTAGCTATATATATAAAACAGACCATCGATAAACATTTGTTGAAAGAAATGAAGGAATGGAATTTATAGAAGTAGACTTTCTAGTTCTCTTAGCTGCAAATGCTTTATATCTATACAAATCCAGTTTTGCTGATTGTTGTATTGAACCCAAGACTTAAACACCTAGCTGCATCCCTAGCCCTTTTTATTTACTTTGAGACAGGGTCTTACTAAGTTTCCTAGACTGGTCTTGAACTTGTGATCCTCCTGCCTCAACAAATACTTTTTAAACAGAATTAATAGAACTATATTATATTAAAAATTCATGTCTTTTGAAATAAAACATTTTGCACCTATTTTAAATTTATCATGTATAGATAAAGGGATTTGTTCTTCATGTCTAAATTTCTTAGATAGTTGCAGAGTTGACCCATAGAAAAAAATTTTAAATTTTTGTTAGTAGATCTGTGGAAATTTATCAGGTTTAATTGAACCAAAGAGCTTTAAGGCTTTTGTTCACAAACTGCTTATACAACTATCACTGTTCCCAGAAGTCTCTTTGTACATTTAACACTTTTGTCTACATCCTAATTTTTTAAAACATGGTCAGTTTTGTGTCCACTTCTGTGACAGTAAATTTACCAACTTATTTTGCTATTTCTGTCACTACTCCTTTGTCCTTGCTATGGTTATTCTCTCAAAAGATTTCCTGTCTTCTGCTCATCTCCCTTTGCAGTCACTACCTACTTTTTTTTTTGTACTGGGGATTGAACTCAGGACCTTGAGCTTGGGAGGCAGGCGCGGTGTCACTGAGCTAAATCCCAGGCTACTGCTATCACTACCTATAATCACTCACCTATAATCCTGGCTTCAACTTTTTTGTGAAATATGCTCAGATTTGTCTATCTAATTCTCACCACTCTGCTTTTTCAATCTCATCCTCTATTTCCTAAGACTTTATTTTACTTGACACCATGCTCTTAAGTGAAATAAAGACACACATGTGTAAATACCGAATAGTTTCTCTGGTGTGAAAAACTAAAAGCGTAAACTGTATAATTGTATACAAATTGTATAACTGATAATGTGAAATGGGAAGAAAAGGGCTAAAGGTGTAGGGGAAGTGGGAAGGGTAGGGGAAAGGAAATAAGGGACAAGAAAAAATATAAGAAAAGGAAACAATGGAAACAAAGTCTTTGTAATAGGATGGAGGGGGTAAAACGAGGGCAGAGGAATGGGAAAAAATGAGAATCAAGATCTGTCATGTAAGGGTACAAGACCCCAATGATGAATGTAACTATACTGTACACTTAAAAAGTACCAATAAACTCAGTAAGATTTTTTTAAAAAGATATTATTTTACTTTCTTTTTTTTTTTTTTTGTACTCGGGACCTTGTGATTGTGAGGCAGGCAGCAGAGCCACTGAGCTAAATCCCCAGCCCTATTTTACTGTATTTTCAATCTACCCCTCTCCACTGGCTCTCCTCCCCCTTAAATTACACAAGTCCTTTAGACTTTGCAATCCTTCTACTTTGCTTCCTCCTCAGGCTATTTTCTCTTTGCTTCTTTTCCCTTTATTACCAAACTTTTAAATAAAATAATACTCTCTTTAAAAAAAAAAAGTAAGCTGACACCTGGTTCCAATTCTTCTCATTCTCAATTCCTGTTAATGACACTATTTTTTATTCTATTCCAACAATGCCTGTCTGTGGAATCTTTTTTTTTTTTTTTTTTTTTTTTTTTAGACAGCATCTTGCTCTAAATCAGGCTGGCCTCAGACTTGCAGTGATATTCCTACCTCAGCCTCCTAAATGCTGGGATTACAGGCATGTACTACCCAAGCCCAGTGATCTCATCCTTCAAGGCTCTTCCCAACAGGTGCCTTATACTAGGCTTCTTGGGTTCTTTCAAGTCTTTCCTGACATATTTTCTTCTTTGCTTTCTTTATTTTTGAGACATAATCTGTCACCCAGGCTTGCCTCAAACCCACAACCCTCTTTTTCAGCCACCCAAATAGCTGAGATTACAGGTAAGGATCACCATGGCCTCTGTCTTTATTATCCTTAAAGGTCTTCTTACACTTTTAAAGTCAATAATATTTGTTGAGTGCCTCTCATGTGCTTGCTACTGTGCTGGCCCTCTGGCTAGAAGGATAAAATCTGGGACTGGAAACAAAGTCTCTTTTACTGTTTCATGCTATTTATACTACCCCAGAACCCTGTAGCAATAACCTATTGCTAAAATAACAATATAACATGCATGTTCAGTGATTTGTATTGCTGAAGTCCATAAATCAGAAATACATGAAAAAGCAAAAAAAAAAATTTTTTTTTACAAGGGGGATAAGGTTTGGGTCAGTGATAATGTGACAACTCTGGGGACAAGTTTTGCCACATAGATGAGCCAACAGCTTTACTTTCTTTTGCAGTGTTGAACCCAAGATCTTGAGCATACTAGACAAGTGTCCACCCCTAGTCCCAAGTTACATCCCTAGCCCTCTTTTTAAAAAATTTATTGATTTTTTAAATTTTGAGGTGGGGTCTCAATAAATCGCCTAGGCTAGCCTCAAAATGGCAAGCCTCTAGCCTCATCCTCCAAAGCAGCTGGGATTACGGGCAAACACAACACCTGGGCACATCGTATTTTTAAGAAAACTTTAAAATATTGTTTGCTTATATGGTCTGAGACAGGTTCTCACAATGTAGTTCAGCTTCGTCTCATGATCCAAGGCCATGATCCTCCTGCCTCAGTCTTCCTGGTACTGGGCTTACAGGTGTATGCTACCACTCCACACTTAAAACACAATTTTTATCACAGAAATTTGGTCCTGACTAAACTCAGTAACACTGAAAAACAGGTGTCTGAACTTTAAAAGTTGAAGAACCGAGTAAATGTTCTAGAAAAAAATTAAATGAAGAAATAATGTAGAGCTGGGAGTTTTGCTCAGAGGTAATCTGGTATGTTTGTAGCCCTGGGTTTGATATTCAGCACCTCAGAATGAAACAGAAAATGTAATAAACTATAAGGTCTCCAGGAAACCAAATGTTTAAAGAAAACATTCCAATCAAGCCAGTTAGCATCTAATGTTCACGATCAATTAATCTAATGAACTAAAGTGCCCACAAGGATTTAAATGGTTTAAGGTTTATTTTTAGAAATTCCAAAATCCCACCATTTATAACATAGTCCCTTCTTCCACATGACAGTACAAAAAAATCTTGGTTTTCAAAAATAATGCAATTTCTGTGAAGAAACGGACACTCGTTGGTATTACCAGTGAGCCTGTAAAGAAGCAAAAACCAGTTACTTAAGATGCTCTAACATACTTTTCCACCCTTCAGAAGCCATCCTTTAAGGTACCAAGAAAAAATAGCTCAACTGGAACCTTGTAATAGGCACGTTGTATGCAACGCATTCCACTGACTCCGTTCTGACTTTTAGCTTCTGACTTAGCCATTTGTAGTGTCTGGGCAAGTCACTTCTTTGAACGTTTCACTTTGCATAAACGAGAAAATGGATGTAGGGCTATGGAGAGCTTTGATAACAATGTCAACTACATTGTCTTCAAAAGCCTCTTCTCCAAACGACAGGACAACATAAGTACTGCTTTCCCACCTTCCATTCCCAAGTCCACGGCCCATTCCTCTAGCTTTCAATCTCAATTCGGGATTCTAAAAGAATCACAAAGTACCAGTACCATGCAGCGCACCATTGTCCCCAAAAGTGGATGGAGGTTTTGAAGCCTCGGGTGGCTCCGGAAGAACAGAATAACCCACCCTGGTCTGTCCACCCGTCCAGCCCTTCCTTGTCAGACGCCCAGCCCTGCGGCAATTACTCTGGATACTCCACTACCGCGAAGCGCGCGCTAGCCTGGTTACAGCCCCTGTGGGCCCCGGGGCAGTGCCGGGACCTCGAGGAGAGGAAACTGCTGGTGGAAAGGACTGGCAGAGAGGACTGGCGGTTCCTGCCGCCACGGGTGGGGGAAGGGCGGCAGCCATACCCGGAAGTGAGTCTCGGAAGGAGGCTGGGGCCTAGGGAGGGAGACTTCCGGTGGCGCAAAGGGTGTCGGGAGCAATTTCCAGCAAACCTTCTTCCCCGGCCTCTGGAGGGACCACCGTTGCCACTGCTTTGGATTCCACGACCTGCCTTCCGGCTGAACGACCACGGCTATAGAAACTTCCCTTGTGCACGGTTCATATTCGTTCCCAAGCGGCTGCCGCAGTTTAAGCGGCAGTAGCGGCCGACATGTTGTGAGGCGGCGGCGCGGGTGTCTGAAGGATGGTTTGGTCGAGGCGGCGGCAGCGGCTGCTGGCGGGGGTGGCAGCTGGGGCTCGAGCTCTGTAGAGCCGAGCCTGCCGGGTGTCGGCCCAGCGCCGAGGCGAGGCTTGTACCTCCGGGTCTTGCTCTGGCTTCGGCGTAGTTAAGGAAACCTCCGGGTCTTGCTCTGGCTTCGGCGTAGTTAAGGACCGCTTAGGCGACAGCTCCCACCTCTCTGAGAAGACGCGAAGGTGGTTCTCTGCCACTCAAATTTCGGGACCACCTTGCTGTCCCCTCCCCAACCTGGTCAGTGGTGTCCCCAGATTCCTCAGCCTCCCCAACTTTCCTCTCAGACTCTCCCTAAACCTGTCACAGAATCGAGTGTTCCGCCCTCTGGAGCTCGCTTCTCCCCTCTTCCTCATTTTCTCTACCCTCTCTACGAGTGCTGTAGGGATCACTCTCACAGGCGGCCTTTTGAGAAGTCTCTGGAGAAGTGGACCAGAGCCGGAGAGTTTTTAAAAGTCGGACTTCGGAAAGACAGGAAAGTACGATGGCTTCCTCATCTGGCAACGATGATGATCTCACTATCCCCAGAGCTGCTATCAATAAGATGATCAAAGAGACTCTTCCCAATGTCCGGGTGGCCAACGATGCCCGAGAGCTGGTGGTGAACTGCTGCACTGAATTCATTCACCTTATATCTTCTGAAGCCAATGAGATTTGCAACAAATCGGAAAAGAAGACTATCTCACCAGAGCACGTCATACAAGGTAAGTCGTTTGTGTCGAGTTTGGTTTAAATGAGGGGACAGAGAGGAACAATTGCCTAATCTGTTGATGTCAGAATCCTTCATTTCTCTTCACCGATAAGTATTAATGAAAAAGCTTTTCAGGTAGGGAGGCAGCTGGTGTCTTAAGAAAATACCTTGTAACCTTTCGTCAGTACTTCTCATCTAGCGAGTACAAGCAAAGATTGCAAACATATACGCAACAAATACTTCCAAAATATAAAGTATTGTTACAGTTTACAATTAGCTCTCCAAGCAACAAAAATTGCCTGCCTGCAGTTGAACTTGGATAACTATGACTGGGAAAGGATCTCCAAAATTCTTCCTTGCAAAGTTAAAATTTAGAACTTCAAGAATGAGTGAAGTCAGAGCACCCCTTTCTCACATGACCTTTTAGCCAAAGTAGAAGAAAAGATTGATTTTTTGAACACAAATACTTAACATGAATGTGTTCAACATTGTAAAGTTTATTGGGATTGAATAAAGGGAGTATATTTTCAGATTCATGGTTTCGTGGTAAAATGTTCGTCTCATTACTAAAATACTGCTATTCTGTAAGAAAATGGTAAATGTTCTCTCTCTCTATATATATATCTATAGATCGTCGCTTTGTTCTTTTTTGTTTTGCTTTATTCTTTGGAGATAAAAGCTTGGATTGACAGGTTATGTAACATGATTTTTGTTTTCTGAGGCAGCTATATATTTCAGGCTGGCCTTGAACTCATGCACTGGGATCTCAAATGTGGGCCACCACACCCAGCTAAGAGATGATTTTTTTTTTTTTAATGGAACATTTCCCTGTCCTTTCCTTCTGCCATTCCCATTTGGATGCATTTATACACTTAAGCTTTTGTTGCAAAGCACTTCTAAAAGTTTCAACAGTTTCTTCTCCCTTGTCTTGGAAAGATTTAGTCTAGTAATAGGGACTTGGAAGGTTGTATTCTGATGGTTTCATGGAGGGGAGACAATTACTAGTCACAGTGTTTTTGGAAGCACTTTCTGCAACTTTTACGTGTACTGTTATGAAAAAGTTGCATTTAATCTGAGCTGATAAGTTGACTTTTGTAATTCAGTCCAACAATTTCTTGATTGTTTTTGAAGTCAGGAAAAAAAAAAAAACCTTGGTAAATTTTAATCATATTGGGAGGCAAGTACTCTATTTCTTTTTTGTAATTTAAATTTTAAAAATTTTACTTTCCTGTTACTGTCAAGTAGAGAACACATCTGCTTATATTGACCATATCCACTGTTTTACTGTCTATATTGACAAAAGGATTAAAGGATTCACTTTTGAACCTTTAAGACATCCTGAAGGTAGATTTAAAATATATTCTGCCAGACCGAGGATGTAATTCATTGGTGGAGCATTCACCTGTCTTGTGTAAGTCCTTGGGTTTGATCCCCAGCACAGCTAGAAGAGATACATGTGTGTGCATACTGCCATTTTAGTATATGTGCAGTGCCACTTAAGTACAGAGGAGAAAAACCTTTAAGAAAAGGCATATTTGATCTTTTTTGTTGTTCTGTTCTGTTTTGTTTTTTGGTTTTTTTTTTTAATTTTTAAGACAGGGTCTCACTATGTAGTTGAGACTGACCTGGAACTCACTGTGTAGCCGAGGCTGGTCTCGAACTTACAGCGATCCTCCTGCCTCAGCCTCCTGAGTGCTGGAATTATAGGCATGCGCCACCATACTCAGTTTGTTTTGTTTTTTGAGACAGGGTCTCATTATGTATTTCCATCTGGCTTGAACTTACTGTGTAGCCTAGGCTGGCCTCAAACTCACAGTGATCCTCCTGCCTCAGCCTCCCAGCTGCTGGGATTTTCAGTGTGTGCCACCAGGCCTGGTTAAAAGCATATTTGATTCTTAAAGCTGATATTTTTTTCGTACCTGTTTGAATTGCAAGTAAAATGAAAGCCAAGTTGTCTATTTTTCTCTGTGTTTTTATTTTAACATCATGTATGTGGTTGCTGTCTTAAGTCTTTCACAAGATTATCCAACACAAGTAGCTGTAATTTCTTTTTACAACTCATAAAAAAGAAAAGAAAATTTATCAGCATTTCTTTTTTAAATGAAAATTGCAGAAGATTTTAACAGGATCTGCCATTTGTGGTGATGAACCTGTGGCATATGTGCTGCAGCAGTCTGTTTGTATCATTGAATCATTGAAAGTACCTTTAAAAGTTTCACCATCACTAGACTGTTTATACCACAGAAGTGAGATATGTCCAAAAATCTAGTAACACATTATAGTCTGTCTTGTTGGGGGAGAGTTTATTTTTTTCTAGGATGTATTTAGATTTGATTGATATGGTGGAATAAAAGTGCAGCTATAGCAAGCTAAATAGTTCAACTTTGGGATTTGCTAAATTCAGTTTAGTGTGTCAGTCAGAAAGTTACAGTGAATGTGCATTTTCTTTTGTGTAATGAGGATTGTCTATTAACTTTTAAAAATTACGTTGACCTGTTACAGTTTTAAAAGTTTACCGATTAAAAAAATGTATAACATTTCTTTTAAGTGAATAAGAATGTGTAATTCCATTGCAGTGGGCAGATTTTATATATTTTTAATCTTACATTAGTCATTTTTAAAGTTTTGTTTTGCGAGGTTAAATTTTTTGTTAAAGAAATCTTAAGGTTTGTATGTTTCAAGTGTCTAATGTATGTGCATCTTTACAGAGTAACTCTGAAAGTACGAAAATCATGGTATGTATGACCTTTTAAATACTTCCCTGTCAGCATTAATTTAGTAACAGATTGTATCCAGGTGGGATAATAAGGTACATTTTTGTTTGTTTGTTAATAATGTATATTTTAAAGTGGTTTGATTGTCACATGTTGAAGTTTGGGGTTTTTTTTTTGTTTTTTGTTTTTTTTTTCAGTACCGGTGATCAAACTCAGGACCTTGAGCTTGCAAGGCATATGCAGTGCCACTGAGCTAAATCCCTGGCCCCAGAATTTGGGGTTTTGTAATAAGTTAAATTAATTAGACTTTGCTTTAGCACATCTGACTTGTTAAATTGCACCCTGGTTTTACCATATCAGAGCAAATTAATCATTCTGAAGCAGTTCTGTAAAATGTAAAGTTGAATAACTTTGTTATCAGTGAATCTGACATAACATAACTTAGTTTTTTTAAGAAAAGTTTTTCCCCTCCTGGTTTGTTTAAGAAAGTACACTTAGTTTAAAAGTCACAGATAGGTGAATACAGGAAATTCTATTAAAGATACTTGTTTTATTTCATTACTTGTTTTTGTGAACATATATATGTGTATATATATATTTTTGTTGTTGTTTTGTTTTTTGTTTTTTGAGACAGGGTCTCACTATGTAGTTGAGACTGACCTGGAACTCACTATGTAGCCCAGGCTGGTCTCAAACTCACAACAATCCTCCTGCCTCAGGCTCCTGAGTGCTGGGATTATAGGTGTGTGCCACCACGCCCGGCTGATCATATATTTTTGAATATTCTAACCTGTTTTGCATTTTGGAAAGAATTGACTTTGAGACTCAGAGCTATAAGTTCTGTTCTAGAAATTCTTTGGCCTTAGGCAAATCTGTTAACTAAAATCTTCCTGTTTATGTAAAAGTAATACTTGATTTCAGATATAATTTACAAGTTTTGAGAATCAGTTGGGGACTGAAGTTCAGTCTTACATAAAATATACTACAATAAATATTAATTCTCAAAACTTGTAGTTATACTGATTAAAATATAAAGCTGAAGGCCTGTTATATGTTGTAGTGCCATGTACACAGCCACAATTAAATAAGAATGTTTTAAATGACATTTTTCTTCTTTGATTTTTCATCTCTTGCTACCATTTTCCATATGTATAAGCCTAATAAATGAAAGTAGCAGGGCATGGTGGTGCATGCCTGTAATGCCAGCACTTGGGAATTTGAGGCAGGAGGATTGCAGGTGCAAGTTTAAGGGCATCCCGGGCTGCATAGTGAGGTCAAGGCCAGACTGAACTACCTAGTGGGATTCTGTCTCAAAAAACAGAAGTGAGGGCCGGGGACTTAGCTCTGTGGTTCCGACGCCTGCCCGGCAAGCACAGGGTCCCAAGTTTGATCCCCAGTACCAAAAAAAAAAAAACAAAAACTGAAAAAACAAGTGAAACCAGAAGAATAGTGAAAGTTTGAGAAAGTCTCCTGAGAATTTGCTTTTTCAGCCATTGAATTGCTCTAAGCTGTTTGTGTTGCAGGACTTTTATTTATTTTTTAAAATTCTAGTCCCTCTCATACCTGTAAAATACGGTAAAAAGAGATCACTAGGAAAGCAAAATGTAAAAAATATATAAACTAAAAGCTCAGTTTTTTTATTAGTCAATGGACATAAAATTATTCTGTCATTGTTTTAAAGGTTCTTAATGCTTGCTTTGAATTTTCATTCTTAACTCATTGCAGCAACCATTATAAGCAGGTCTGGCACCAGCCCATGGACCACATTTTGAGTAGCTTTGCTCTAAAGCTTAAACCACAGTCTATTTTAGAAAGTGGATGTGAAGTTGTTCTCAAATCAGAGAATTTGAGAGATTGCAGAGAAGTTACAATGAGAATGATGTGTGACCAAAAAGTCATTCATACAAGTATTTTCCCCCCCAAGGAACACATATAATTTGACTACAGTTTATCACTTAATCAGATATTTTTCATTATATTTTTTCTTTTTATTAAATTTTATTTTACCTGGTTCCCCCCACTCAAGCCCCCTCATATTTTTTCTTAAAATTTATTTTTGGAGTGGGGTTCTGGGGATTAGCCTAGGGCCTCTGGAATGCTAAGCAAACTCTCCACCACTGAGCTACATTCCCAGTCCAAATCTTATTTTTATTTTCCTTATGCCACCCAACAGTTACTTACTGAATAATGCTAAATATAGTACCTGATTTTATGGTAGATCCTGGCATGATACAAAGGTGGATGGTGAGGGCTGGGGATTTAGCTCAGTGGTACCAACGCCTTCCTCATAACCACTGCCTCCTGAGTTCAATCCCTGGTACAAAAAAAAAAATGGATGATGATTCCTTCATTGTTGACCTAGATTCCTGAGTTGTTAACATGAAGGGTATGATTATTAAGGATATTCAGAAATCTTTGCCATACTAAGCCAGGAAGACACTTTGGCCAACATCATCTTAATGTATTTTCAGAGAACTATATCACACTCTTCCCTCTCCACAAACAAGAAAAGAAAAATTAAATTCGGGGGTGGGGGGGGCGTGTGGTACTGAGGAGTGAACCTTTGCACTGAATTTGAATTACTTCCCCAGTCCCTTTTTATTTTTTATTTTGATAGAGGATCTCACTAAATTGCCCAGGTGGTGCTAAACTCCTGCCTCTGCTTCCTCAGAGTGCTGAGATTACAGGCATGACACCATGCCTGGTTTATTACATAATTTTTAAAATGAAAAAAATATTTTATTCACTTGAAGTATGGTTATTCACACAAATTCATGTTATAACAAAACTTTGCAAGGAGCATATTTTGTAAAATAAGATTATCCTTTGAGCTGGGTGTGGTAGCACATGCTTCTAATCCTAGTATTCTGAGAGACTGAGGCAAAAAAATGGCAAGTACAAACCCAGCCTGGGCAGCTTAGCTACTTAGCCAATTAGAAAAGGTCATTACTTTCTCAAAAACCTTTGTTACCATCTGCCAGAAAAAGCATAATAAGCATAAAATCTATGATGTTTACAGTATGAATGGCCCTCTTTAGGTGTGATACTATTGTATACTAAACAAACAGCACAGCCTTGAATCAAATTGCTTAGGAGCTATTTCCCTTATCCTTTTAATTTCTCCTTTGTGTAAAATGGCAATGACTACCAATGATGTAAGATATCTCCCTGTTTAAAAGGTGCTGTATCTTGTTTTTTATATCTATTAACTAAAATGTGTTTATACTTCAGGTTAAAGTCAGTGAATTTTGTGAAATTAAATTATGGCCACTCCTGTTGAGCCATTTTATTGAGAGTACAGTATTATGTAACAGCTTTTAAAATAATATTAAGTGTAAACCTTAGACTTGCAGATTTTTTGAGAGTAATAGTTTGACCCTTAAATAAGGTTGATTGATTGATTGATGTTTATTGCCACACAAAATCTCACTAAGCTGCCTAGGATGGCCTCAAAATTGTGAACCTCCTGTCTGAGCCTCCAGAGTAACTGGGATTATACATAGTGTGTCACCTTGCCAGCTCTGTGATGTTTTAAAATTTTTTTTAACTGAAGCCCTCTGTGGTTGAAGGTAGTTTAGTTGGTCTCTGTCTCTGTCTCTGTCTCTCTCTGGTGAGCATAAGCCAAGCCAGTGACTTTCAGTTTTGTTTGAGTAGTTGGTAGCTATTGTAATGTTTAAACCTGTAAGACAAAGAAAAATTCTTGGGCCCTGTATTTTCTTAATATCTAGTAATTCATGCCACTGAAGGATTTTCTGTTGTGTTGATTTATTAAATTTGTAAATTTAATATTTTATAAATATATTTCAATTTAAATTTAATGTCAGAAGTATAGCTGTTTAGGTTTTACACACTTATTAGGCTACTCTTTTAAATTTAAGAGAAAAAAATAAAGATGAGAAACATATTCCAAGTTGACTGATTCTTAGATGCTAGACACTGTGTTAAAAGTCTTTATTAATTGTTGGTTCCTACAGCCCTAACATTGTAACAATATATGTTTAATTTTGTTTCCTCTGTGGGGCAAGCCTCTGGTCTAAGTTCTTTATTTATATTTATTTATTCTTCTCAACACCCTGATCTAGTGAGAGGTAGATACTGTTTTATTCTTTTCTTAGAGGTGAGTAAATTGAGACCCAGAACTGAAGGAGTTAAGGGTCACAGCTAATATGAGGTAGACTTAGGAGTCAATTCATAGCAATTTGGACCTGTGGCCAACCTGCTTACTGACTGCATAGCCTCAGATTGCAGCAAGATATTATGAAATAGATGCTGTTCTTAATCTGTACATTGAAAAAGCTAAAGCTTCGCAATATTAAGCAACATATCCCAATTCTAGGTCAATTTCATTTCAGAAGTAGATTATGTCTGGAAGGATTGAACGAGTTTAATTTGAAGATGAGATTTAATCTGTTCTTTGAGTTCATTGCCATCACCACGAATGTGGGAAGCTGTGGTTTATGCTGGGAAAAACTAAGCCATCAAATGTAGCAGAAGTACGCAAAGATTTAATGGCAGAAATACAGCTGCAAGGATACACGGCAGGTAGCGGGCAGGGGGTTAGATCTTAGACCTTAGTGTAGGACTAAGGAAATCAGACTTTGTTTAGAATATGGTGGGAAACCATAAGCTTTTACTTGATTTCCTTTGGTATTGTCTCCAAATACTCTATTATTATCTCTCTGTTATGTTGGTATCCTCAAAAAGAGAAAAGATAAGTCGAGCATGCTTGCACATTCCTGTAATCCCAGCACTTGGGAGGCTGCGTTTGAGGCCAGCCTGGGCTACGTATTGAGTTTAAGGCCATTCTGAATAACATAGTGAGAACTTATCTAAAAAAAAAAAAAAGAAGAAGAAGGAATAAAAAAGCGTTGGCTTTTATAATTGACACTTTTTTTAAAAAAATGTGTTTAAATGAAAAATGAAGGTTGCCTAGTCAATTATTTTTCCCACTGTGTCCTAAACTGCTTGAAGTCAAGAATTATGTTGTGGTGAATGTGAAATACAGAATTCAGAATAATGCCTTTCTAAGGCTTTTGGGTAGGATGTGTTATGGAAAGGGTAAATTAAGATTCACATTAATAAACAGTAATTTGCATTTTATATCAGCTTATACCTTTAGAAGGTTGATTAAAAACAATATAACATGAAATAAAATCATTCACAATATCTTAAAAATCATATTTATACGAGAGTGGATTTCTAAAGGCACATTTTGTGTTTTCCTTGAAGAGCAAATTTCTACATTTAAAATTTGAAAGCATCTTTTTGGAGGGCAGTTTGGTTCATTACAATTGTTGAAAGACTACAAGAACTCATGAGCTATATTGATTTACTCTTGAGTTTTTGCCACCTAAATTTTATCATTGGCTTAAGTTATAGAATGTACCCTTAAGTATGAGGCAACATACAGAAAACTATAAAATAAAATATAATATTGAATACTGTGAATGAAAAGGAAATTTTATGATTTCTCTTTTCTGATTACAAAAGTCACTTAGTACATTATATTGCTGGAGATGTAGCTTAGTGGTAGAGTGCTTTCCTAGAATGTATGAGGTCTGTGGTTCAATCCCTCGTACCAAAAGGAAGTTCAATTGAGAGTATTCTTTTTCTTGTAGATTTTTCTAAATATGAAAAGTAAAAAGAATTTTTTATTACTTTATCTAGCTTTATAGTTTTCTGTACTTACTCTAGTCTGTCCTTATAGATTTCTGTAGTCAATCCACTTGAAAAGATTTTTATTTTGCTTTTGTTAAGTTTTATATTTAAAAGGAATTTGTTGGCAGAGTATAAATGCCAAATTTCATGAGTTATTTTCACCAGTTTGTTTTTGTGGTGCTGAGGCTCAAACCCAGAGCTTTATGTATACTAGGCAAGCCCTCTACTACTGATTTATACACTATTAGCCTCTATTGGTACTTTTTAAACTTGGCAGTTTTGAGTTTCTCCGCTAAAAATAGCTTCCTGTTGTATATTGGACAAAGAAAGAATATACCTGTTCTTTCATGCTGTCTTGCTGAAACAGTATAGCATGTGTTATAAGCCCACTTTTTCTAAGCCAAGTGGTGCAAAATATTGTTAACAAATATATTCCTAATATTTATTTTTGTATTCTTTAAGAGAATGACTGACTTGGTGTTTGACTTACTATGAGTGCTAGAGAAAAAATATTTTTTTACTAAAATCACGTTAATAAATTGGACCTTCCTCCCTCACAGGAAGTTCTTTGATCTTGTAAAAATTAGAATGAAAAGTGAAGGCTTTGCTTTGAAATGTTGTATAAGTTTTAACTAATCTGCAATCTCACATTAACAAAGCTGATAAAAATATTTTGCCTCAGACAATTGTGCAACTGTAAAATAGTTATTAGAAAACAGTACCCCTTCCCTCCCAGGAAAAAAATACACATAAAACCTTCATTTTCCGAAGTTGAGGGAAAATATATATTTTATTACCCTTTCATGTTTTCATTTCTCTAGCACTAGAAAGTTTGGGCTTTGGCTCTTACATCAGCGAAGTAAAAGAAGTCTTACAAGAATGCAAGACGGTAGCGTTAAAAAGAAGAAAGGCCAGTTCTCGTTTGGAAAACCTTGGCATTCCTGAAGAAGAGTTATTGAGACAGCAACAGGAATTATTTGCAAAAGTAAGTCATACGTTTTAAATTATTTTCATCTAAATCCTCACCCTGTTTGCTATTAGAAATCATACAGTTATTTAAAATTGCATCCTAAATTTCAAAATAATATACCCAAAGGATTCTTTTTCTCTGGTTTATTGTTTGATTATAGAGTGTGATATTTAGAGCTGGCTGTTTTGACTCTGGTATATGTAAAAGTAAATATTTGTATCAACCTATTTTCTGAAGAAAGCAACTCCAAAAAACTATTGAGATTTTACTTTGATGTTTTTTCAGACAGAATGACACCCTAATAGCATGAAAGATGGTGGTGTATGCTTGCAGTCCCAGCACTCTGGGAGTCTGAAGCAGGAGGAACTTGTCCAGCCTAGGAAGTAGGGAGAGGGGGTAGGGAAAAGGCAAGAATGGAAAGAAAAAATATGAGAAAAGGAAAAAACAGAAACAGATTTTTTTTTTTTTTTTTTTTAAATAGGGGGGGGGGGGGGGGAGGGGGGGGAAGGG